CGATCGGGGCTTTTTTCCGGAAAAGACTACTGGTCTGTCTACACTGGCCCTTTTCCGGAACAGTGTTTCGGAATAAGGACTTATGCCCGAGCGGGAGCAGAATAGTTTTTCCAGAATAGCAGCTGATTTTGTACAGTAGAGCATCATTGCTTTTCTGGAAATTCAAGGGCCAGTGTAGACAGCTCGCAGCTTATTTTGGAAAAGCGGCTGATTTTCCGGAATAAGTGGCCCAGTGTAGACACAGCCTCCTTGTTTTTCAACCACCTCCCCATATTTTTGATTTCAGTCATTTTCTTTATTTAAAAAAATGTTTTGTTTCTGTTCCCTGTTACTTTATGGGAAGTCCACACAAACATACTAGAAAATCAAACAAACAAAACATAACATGCTGTCAAAAGCTCAAATCAAACACACTGGAAAAAATCAGAGGAAAAATGTTATTTGTCTCTTCAATTGGAGTCATTTTAGGTGTGACAATAGCAACTTAAAAATCAGACAAAGATGATTTTGGGTATTGTTTTAACTTGACTGTTCCATTAAAGGTTCTTTTATAAAGATAGTGTGGTCCTTTAGCACAGCAGTTCCTAACCTTTTTGATACCGGGGACCGGCAAACCCATTCACAAAATTTTGGTGGACCAACAACATTTTATTTGCATACTCATTATGTCCTCTTGCCGTGCAGCAAACCGCTTTTTCATGGCCAGGAGGAGATCCTGCCCCTGCTTGGCTCTGGCTGGCTGAGAGGTGGGGCAGGACTTGCCTCTCCTAACAGCCATAGTGTGAAGGGAGGCACTGGGCAATGTTCCTCAAAGCTGCCATGGTCCAGCAGCCAGTGGTCTACGGCCCCCCACCAGCCTGCGGACCGGCAGAGGGGAACCACTGCTTTAGCAAACAAAATAAACTATGCAGGTTAATGCAGCAGTAGGACAGAACACAACCCCCCCCCCCCCAAAAAAAAACCCCTTTCAAAACCTTTCATAGCACTTTTTAAAAAAATTAAGGCATGCTGTTGCAGTGTTACAGCACAATACAGATGCTGCTTGAATAGGGATGGTAACACCTCAGCCATTTAGAAAGAAAACACAGGTATAGAATCAGCGAGCTGTCCTTGTTACTAAGGTTTTTGAGCACAGTTTCCTTCAACTGGTAGAGGAATCTTTGCTACTCTCTCTTTACTTTGTGAATCCATAATACTGACCTGTAAACAGGATCAAGGCATAGACATTATAGGTCCATAGTTATTTTCCCCATCTCTTGGAATATCATAATGAGGTCAGAATTTCAATGTTCATTTTTAAGTAAATTTCCTAGTCTTTCTGGCTGAGAGAAGCTCAAAAATGTGAGCTGAGCATAACTCATTCAGCGATGCTGCATGTGTCTGCAGAAAGCCTAAAATTAAGTCTGAGAGAGTGTTATTTTAAGGGCAACTCTGTGAACATGATCCCAGTAGAGAATAATTCAAGAGGAGAAGAGGCAAGAGAAGAGTGCAATGGCTCATGCACCCACACATGCACTCCAGGGGCTGAGATAAGTACTGTGCTGAGGTTTTCTGCCACTCCTGCCTCTACAGGGCGGAGGAACTTCTAAAGTTGCAGAGGATTGGGATTCCCAGGCTTCCGCCACTCCAAAGGTGGAGGCTGGAGGTGGATCACTGAGCATAGTGCCAAGTATGCCATAGGGATGTCAATGAGTACTCAACTGTACGAATAACTGATAAGCCTAGGCTTATTGGTTTATCTTGTCAACTACATGCATCCTCCCCTTGCTGCCTCTGTGTCAGAGGCAGCAGGATGTGGAAGGAGGAAAGGTTGCAGTGAAGCAACCCCTGTCTAAGGGGGGGTCTGAGCTCCCTGTGGACAGAGACTGCTACACGTCCAGCAAAGGAACCTCAGTCCATGGGGAACTGGGATCCCTGCAAGAAGGGGCTGCTGCCACCCCATACTGCTGCCTCTGATGCAGCACTGGCTGCCGGTCCTGCCCCTGAGGACTGTAGAATAATTGTGTAACTGATAGAATTCATGCGGTTACGACTATTCAATTACCCGATATCTTGCAGCCCAAGTATGGTGTGGTGCAATGTACCTAGTGCCCTCGGTTGCCTTAATCCAGCCCTGCCTGCAGCATCTTTAGTTGTTCTTGAATAAGGTATGCTAATTATTCCAAATTGTATGGTGACCTGGCAGTACTGATAAATGAGTCCTGGAATGAGCTCACTAATCTATCTTTTCACTTGGAGTTTATTCCAGGGATTGTAGCCAAAGATGAACAGTTAGCTCTCTAAATCCTACTGTACGCCTCTTCATGGTTTTTTTTAAACCGATACCCTGAAGAAATGCCCATAATTATGCATGTCCACTTCTAGTTTGCCATAGAGGATGATGGCATTGTTTTCTAATAGTTGCTTTGGTGTTGCCTGTGCCACTTTAAAATAAAAACCCCTTTTCTATGTAAGGTTAAGCGAACAGAGAGGACTGTGCTAAAATGGTGCACTTATTAATTTTCTTCTAAGTATTCAGATGCTAGAGTTCAAAGTATGGTATAAATACCTAAAGAGATGTGTAAGTGCTAGCAACATTCTTAACAAATGTTTGCAAAGTAAAATATCACTAGGCACAATCTCTTCAAGGTGGAAGCCCTTGGATTTAATTCAACCCACCCTTTTACTATGTTATGTGACGCTTTTAATGACAAAATTAATATTTGAAAAAATAGCACAAGCTCTGCCAAAGGCAGTATGTATGCAAATGTAGCCAAAATAATCGTGGGGTAGTAGCCTAAGGATTCCAACGTAGGATGGAAGAGTTCAACCAGTTAATTGATATGTAATAGCTTATCTGTTAACCTCACTAGTTAACCTCCCGGCCACCACGGCAACCTGTGGGTTCACCAGGAGTACGCGGAGCATTTAGCCAGTTACATAGTTAATGTTTATTTTTAATGTTTACATCCCTATTCCAAAGTGCTTTACAACACTTTACCTGTGGGAACTTTACAACCATTACTTCCAGAAGAACACTAAATGTATGGTCCAGAAGTGAAGAAGAATGTTAGATCAAATTGAAACTGCAAAGGGAATTGTAGCAAACAGAACGTAGTTACCCAAATTGTAATTTTGGCCAGAATATCAAAAAGTGCAGTGGGCTCTTTAAAGATAGGTGATCATAATCTTTGCAATAGATATAATATATACTGTGACTTAACACCTCCCCGGAACTTTGTATCAGCACTGACTCAAAGGGAAGAGTGCCACCTACTGATTCCTAAGGGCATCCCGGTTTGCCTTTGTGGTTTCTAGTCAAATACTTTTGCTTGCAAGATCTGTACTGCTCATAACCTCAGGCAGTATGACTGCCGTAAAATAGATCAGTAAATTAATACCATTAATTTGTTTTTTTAAAATATTTGTTAGTACTTTCAATCATCTTGGAACAAGGATAGGTTCTGGGGAGTGTATCTTCTAGCCTTGTGCTAATTGAGCTCTCTAGTCCTATAACAGTAAATATTTTTTTGAAGAGGGTATAGTTCATTTAATTGAAGTGGACGTTTGGTATATACTGTATATTACAGACTAATCTCTAAACTCCAATCTGTTGCATGTTTGTGTTTGTGTCTTCAAATGCTATTTATCATTTCATTTCTGCAAGTCAAACAGTCATAGAATCATATTTCCCAATTAAAAAAAATCTATTTTACATCATGGCTGTTTGCTCATTAAAACACATGTGCATGTACACACATGCTTAATGTGCATGTGCTGCAGTACTGTGGCGGTTGCCTAGCAACCAATGGGAGGTATGTCAAAAAGCAAGAGGAGCTTTCAATGAAAGAACAGAAGCATCCACATTAGTTTCAGGTGAGAGGAGACTTATTGCTGGCTTGACTAGCTCAAATGGTTTTATGTGATTATGCTGATGCTCTCCTAGAAGTCACATGCTAAAATATGAAGATGAAAAGGGTGATGTTCAATATAATATTCTGAAGCTTGTTAGTGACCAACGGCTACGTCTAGACTGCAGGCTTCTTTTGGAAGAGATCTTCCGAAAACACTTCTTCCGAAAGAGAGTATCCACACTGCAAAAGTGCATCAAAAAAACAATCCAGACTGAATGGACGCTCTCTTGCATGTAAGCTGTGATTGCTATGGACGGAATGGCCACCAGGGCACCTGTGCTTTTTCTTCTTTCCTCTTCTTCCAAAAGAATTCCCTCTTCCCCTTCCACACGCCTTTTTGCAAAAGAGTTCATTTGGAAAAAGTCGTCTTTCTCGCAGAATGAGGGTTACCAATACCAGAAAAACCCCTCTGTTCTTTTGATTTTCTTATGGAAGAATGCAATTTCAGGGTGGATATTCCTCAAGTTTTGTTGCAAAACTGGCCATTTTTCCGACAAAACTCTGTAGTGTAGACAGCAAAGGGACCCACTTTCTTTATAAATATTTTAACAGTTTGCATTAAGAAATGCTAAAAAGGTCAGTTGTCTCATCACAGTGTTTCCTGAAATGTTCTTCCTGCATGTTCGTTACAAGGCCTTCACTCTGTTAGGGTATGTCTACACTACCCTCCTAGTTCGAACTAGGAGGGTAGTGTAGACATACCCAGAGAGAGTAATGGTAGCTCATTGAAAGGGCCTGCAGTGGTAATGCAATGAGGGAATGTATCACAGGGTTGTGAAGTTTGGAAGACGGAGCTGGTGTTCCTGGTAGTCTATTGGTGGAAGGCTCTTGGTAACAGTCAGCAGGTGATTGTAGCTTGTTGGAGGTCAAATGTGAGATGCGAATGGTTTGATTCTAGGGGTGTGTATTGAGAAGGCAATGCAGGGAGCTGGGTGGGGGACGGCATCTAGGAGTTGGGAATATTGGCAATTGGGGGGTGGAGGTTATCTGAAGGAAGTTTTCAGTGTTGGGGGTGGTATAAGGACTGGGTTGAATGTGGAGGAGGTGGAGCAGGATTGTAACCACTCCTCCCCCACCCCCACCAATCAATTGCATTGTTGCCAGTCACTGAACACTTACTCCCAAGCACACTCTTGTGCTTACTCTGGTGAGATGTGCCAATGAGTTCCTTGGGATTCCTGGCCAGAGAAGGAACTATATTTAATAGTGAATATTTTCGGGCATGGATGAGGAGTATAGAAAATCTCTACATGCAAGAAAATAAAAGGCAATCCAAAGGTGTAAAGTGAGATGAGAAAAGTAACCTGCCCTTTCTCTCAAGGCAAGCAAGGGATCACAAAACATAGAAATGCATTTAGTATTGCAGTGCATAACCAGTTCAAGTTCTGTGAGTCACAAAAGAGGAGATTTAAGTTGTCCTAACATACTCTGAGTAACTACTTGCTCCAGTCCCCTCCCCCAAATTGTGAGAAATAATTACCCAAGTCTTCAGGCTATAAGGATTCAAGTCCCAGCTGTACTGCAAAATTCCTGTGTGTCCTTGGACAAGGTGTTTAATATCTCCAAACCTAAATTCTCCATCTATAAAATAAGAATAAGAATGATGCTCTGTCCTTCTAGGATATGGTGCAAATATAAACTAAGACCTATTTGAGAAACTCCGTGATAAGGTCAGTTGTATACGAATACATAGTGATAGATCCCTTATGTGCAACAGTGGGAGTACCCATGAAGTTTGCCCCAAGTATAGGAGACCCCCTGACAGGAGTTGTGCCCTAAAGACATGAAACACAGGATTTGGTGGTCCTAGCAGCAAATTTTTGAACTGTCCTAGTAGCAACATACTCAGAACTAGCTGTCAAGCCTGCTTACCAGACATTACTTGCATTGGTTTACGGTTATCATATTTCAAATTCTCCAACAGAGGACACTGCTAGGGGTAGAAGAACTGGAAGGGGGCACAGTTCCTGTGGTAATATCATACAATGCCACCCTTACTTCTGCTGGTGATGGCGCTGCCTTCAGACCTGGGCAACTGGTCAGCAGCTGCTGCTCTCTGGCTATCCAGATCTGAAGACAGCGCCACTGCCAGCACAGAAGTAAATACAGTAAACATACATGCTGCTATTAGGGCATGCTAGGATTTGCCATTCTACCAGAATCAATGTTGGAAAAAAGTCAAGCAAGAAAGAATCAGGGACATTTGTTTATATTTAAAAAAATATACTGAAACACAAAAACTGGGCATGTTGAAACTCTACATAGCTTCTTTCAAGCATAGTCTGTCTGGCTATTGTGAAGAGGGAATATTTTGTTTTTGAGAACCATGCCAATGTAGGCCATGCTCTCTACCCTCCTCTCTGGCAGACATGTCTTGCATCCACTTTAGGCATGGACACAAACAATGTTACATCTATTCTTGACTGTAACCATATAGTATGAAAGGTTTTACACATGGTTTCAGCTTACATCAGCCCTGTTTACTTTAGACTCATCATCATTTCCCACCACTGCCTCCACTCTTGCTGCTGCCCTGATGTTGGCAATGGTGAGCCCTGGTGTACCCTGGTCACCGGTGCCATCGTGTCTCTAACCCTACTCAGAGGACACAGAGGTTAAAATAGTGACAGCTAGTCCATGCTAGTGGTCTGGCCCACCTCTGGAGCTAAATAGTCATAGCAATAGTGGGGAAATGTTAACAAAGAAAGTCTAGTATAGATGCATCCATAAGTAAACTGACAGGTTTACTGTAAGTAGGTCGCCGATGTCAGCTTTCAGTGACTCCAGACTTTCTGGTGGATTCAATCCAATAAGCACACGACACTGCCCCTCTTGGTTTTGGTACCTCTAGCTAGCAAAAAAACAAACAAACAAACAACAAAAACCCAATCAAGCAAACAAAAACCACCGGTTAAAATGTCCTTCACAAAATGGTTTCGTGTTAATTCATGACTGTGTGGCTGTCTTTAGAAATCTCCATGGAGACAGAAATCTTATTAGATCAGGCTTTTATACAGTTTTCAGGTGACCTGAATAATAATATTTCATCTGGGGTGCTCAAGGTATTTTACAGACGTTAAAAAACTAAGCTTCACAACAGCTCTGTAAGGTAGCTAAGGATTAACCTCTTGGCAGACAAGACAGCCTGAGCCACAGAGAGGTTAAAGGTCAGGTTTATGAACCTCTCTGTTCTCACTGCCAAGCAACAGACAAGTTACAGTAGTTTCACTAGAATTATGTGAGTAGCTGTTCATCAATATATAAATAAGTTGCACAAACCAGGCCTCAGTAACTTCTCTTGGATTAGAAAGAAAAACTGTGGTATCACTGGGAACTGAAAATAAATCTCCATATTCTTAGGTCTGTCTTTGAACCATTAGTGCTTCCTTCTATGAGACTTCAAGGTCTGAAAAATTATTTCATAGCTGTTTTTTGTGCTAGTGTCACTTTAATTCTAAAGGACTTTCTTTCTTTTTCTTATCCTGCAACCTACAACATTCTTGAGCATGCCAAATATATGTGATATGCCACATGAGGTTCTCTCTGCCCTTTTTGTGGTCAGATGTGGAACAAGTATCAAGAGCTCAGCTGGTAGATACTGTGTCCAGCCCCTTATAGATTATTGCTTATTGTCCAGATCAGCAATAGAAGGTATCCTGGTAGCAATTTAAAGCACTCCCTCTCACTGAAATTTTCATTACTTCCAACTTCGACTGACTTTGAAGCAAAATCTTCATTTCAGTGGAAAATAGGCTGCATGTGTTAGCACACTGCAAGAGTGATCTAGTTTCTCAGGCTATGTCTATACTAGAGGGCTTTATTGGAAAAAGGTACGCAAATTGCTTTTCCCGTCTACACTGGGCTAAATTTTGGAGAAAAAAAACTCTTTCGGAAGAGGCCTTCTTCCTTGTGGGAGGAGGAAGACAGGACTTCCAAAAGAGCACATCTGCTCTTCCGCAAAAATAAGCAGAAGAGCAAACACGTTCCCTGGACATGGCAGAGTTTTTCTGGGATACCTCTGATAGTCTAGACATAGCCTTAGGCTTGAGGGAATATCTGGAGGGTGTAAGGCATTTGTTCCTCCTGCAACAAAGAACTATTTTTTTATGGGAAAGGTTGCCACAGTCCTGTTTGGCTGCTCAGGAAATTAAGCCTCCCACACTTCTTCTTACTACTTTTTTAGCCTTGTTCAGATTGCAACTCTGGCTGGAGTTGGAGTGATGAGAGCAAGTTGCTATTTTCCCAATATACACTGCTGGGAGCAAATGGATAGTGAGGGGATAATGAGAGATGGACACTTGGAGTTGCCAGCTCTGGCAATTTTATTTCAAGTATCATGAGGTTTAGTGGGTTTTTCCCTCCCTTCAACCCTGTTACATGCCTCCAGGGACTTTAAGTCCCAGCTTGTGTATAAAGTTCATTTAGTTTCTAGCCCCCATAGATGCAGAGAAGCCAGAATGTGTCCAGAGTGTAAACTGAAGGCTCAGAAACAAGAAGGAAGATTAAAGCTGAAAATGTATTTTAGTTTTAAGAAATCTTATGTTTTTTAAGCCATTCTCCTTATTCTTTGAGACCTGAGTCATGATATTTAAATGTTTCAGGACTACAATCTTGAGTATGGGAATGAGCTTTGCTTCCTCCCTACCACTCTGTGGCTAGGGTTTCCAGGCATGCTGTTTTCGACTGGTATGCCTGGTTGAAAAGGAACGTGGGTAGGTCTGGTTGGTACCATCGACCAAGTCATTAAAAAGTTCAGTTATCAGCATAATGGGGGAGAAGGGCTAAGGCAGGTTTTCTACCTGCCCAGGCTCTGCATGGCTCCTGGAAGCAGCTATCAAATCCCTACAACTACAAGGTACAAGGGGAATCCACGTGCTGCCCCTGCCCTGAGTGCCAGTACCACAGCTCCCATTGACTGGGAACTGTGATCAGTGGGAGCCACGGGGGCCACACCTGTGGGCATAAGGGCACAGCATGCAGAGCTTCCTTGCACCTAGGGGCCACAGGAACCTGGTGGCTACTTCCTGGAACCCGTGGTAAGCACCACTTGGACCCCACACCTCAACGCTTTGCCCCAGCCCGGAGTCCCCATCCACATCCAGACTCCCTATTGGAGCCCACAGCCTGGAGTCCCCAAACCCTAACTTCCTCCCCTAGCCCTGTGCCCCTCTCCTGTGCTCCAGTCTCTTCTTCACTGGCCCTACCCTAGAGCCCACACCCCCAGCCAGAGCCCTCATCCCCATGTCCCAACTCCCTGCCCTAGCCTGGAGCCCTTTCCGGCACCCTGAACTATCAACTGGAGCCCTCACTCCCCTCCCCCTCCCCCAAAAAAACCTCATCCCAGCTCAGAGCCCACTCTTGTGCCCTCACCTCAGTGGCAAAGCCAGGATGAGAAACTTGGGTGGGCCCCAACTTCAAGAGGGTTGGCAGGGAGAGGATGCAAGATGGATTGGAGCCACCTCCCCTCGTCGTCTTCAGCTGCCCTTGTGGGCAGGATAGTGAATATTCTGGCCAGGCCCCTCCTCCATGGGCTCCAGGCACAACCCTACACTCCGTGGGCAATGGCTCTCAGCTCCCATGCTAATGTCCCTGCTCCCTGGCTGCGCAGAGCAGAGCAAGCCCCAGTGCCCTGCCCCTGCCCCCTGGCAGGAGAGCTGGGTGGATGCAGCAGGTCAAGCCCCCTACCCTGCTCCCTTGGGCAAGTGCTGAGGCTGTAGTAAAGAGGGGGTGGGAGGTTGGTCTGGATGCTAAGTGAGTGGGTCATGGGTGGCTATGCACCTGCCTCACTCCCCTCCAAACACCCCTCACCTCAATGCTCCCCCACCCCAGCCTGATGAGTGTGGGTGGGGGAGTGTACATGACAGAGGGAGGCAGATGGAGAGTATAAGGGGTGGGGCCAGGAAGAAGGGGCAAGGCAGGAGTGGGGCCTCAGGGAAGGGATGTTTGGTTTTGCGAGATGAGAAAGTTGGCAAGCCTGTACTGCAGTGGCGGGCAGCCTGTGGCCCTGCACTTCCTATGCCTCCTCTCCCCATGACTTATAAAGCACCACAAATCCACTAATTTACACCCTGTCCCCACTCCTCCCTCTCCGTCCTAGGGCTGGAACACCACAAATCAGCTGTTCAAGTTCTGGGAGGGAGGGAAAGGAGTGGGGCTGGAGCAGCGTTCTGAAAGTTCTGGGAGGGTGGGAAGGAGTAGGAAGTCTGGGCTCCAGTGCCCCAGTGCACGTACGGCGCATGGGTAAGGAGGCAGACAGTGGGATTGCAGAAGGAACCCAAGTGGGCCATGAGCTATTGCAGCTCACTGAGCTGAAGGAGAGCCACTCATGCGACCCACTCTCTGTTCTTGGTTGCCCATCCCTGCTATAGTGGCCTGAATAGCTGGCTGGTGTGTAAGGAGGAATAAGTCCTCCATGAAAACATGGTAAATGAAGTAGCTTACACACTCCATAGAACCAGCAGGGGGGAAGTGGGACTCACTTCTGCTTCTGATGTAGTACAGCTACTCACAACCTCCCACTGAATACTGATCATAAAGTTATAGTCTACTCCAATTGCTGACCTGGGCTAGATTTGTTTGGCAGTAATTGACTGTTTTGTTGTATGAGTCTGTAACGTCCCGCCCCATGGGACCGGGGCAATTAGTCATGTTCAGCTGTCACATTTAGTCTCTAGGTTACCGATCGGGGTGAAGGGGGACCTGGGCCCACCCCCTCTCCAGGTCCCAGCCCAGGACCCTAAGGGTGGGTGTCTTAAATGCACCGCCCGACCGGGGGGGGCTACGGCCGCAACTCACCGGTCCCCGGGGATTTCTGACCCCGTCCTGGGCTACTTCCTCCGACCCCTGCAGTCCTATCCTGCCACGCTTGGTCCGGTGGGGCGCCGGGTGGGACTCACCCTCGCCGGCTGCGTCGTTCTCCTGCTATGAGTCTAAACTGCAGATGTGGGACTTGACCCACAACTTTGGTTGGAAAGCTGCTCTACCATGCTAGAATGCAATAATATATTTGTGAAGTAGGGTTAGATCCCAATGTAAGTTAAAACCGGTGTTTCTCAACTTGCAGCCCATGGGCCACTTGCAGCCCTGTCAGCACACATCTGTGGCTGCCCCCCTATAATCACTCAGCTGTATAACTGTCCCCCACACTTGCTGCCCCCTGTGGTCATTGTGGAGCATAACTGTCCCTCCTATCAGACCTCTCCCTTTCTATGTTAGGCCCCACGGCGCCCAAGTGCAGGGCGCGGGGTTGGGGCTCGCGATCCCTGCCGCCCCGTCACAGAGTCATAATTGGTTTTGCTAGTTTTATTTTATATAGCTTGAGTATTTTTACATAAATGATCAAGTGCTACTATAATGATCAGAACCTTTGGTAGAATGATCAGAACCTTTGGTAGAAATTAAATAAATAAACTGCATTTCTATCAGGAAAAAAATATTTGTCGAACAAAAATACATTGATCTCAGATAAATATAGATAGTAATTTTTAAGCAACAATGTGTTTGATGCTTTACAAGAAAATGAACAGTCCCTAAGCAGAATGTATTAAAAAAGAAAACAGACATACCTTCATTTGAATATATTTCATATTGGCCCAACATCATTTTTTTTCCAGAGAGGAAATTAACTTACTATGTTCCACAACAATAACCACTTGTTGCTTCAAGCCACAATAGAACCTTTTCTTCCAAAAGCAAACACCATCTGGAAGCTAGTTCCCACATGCAACAGGAATGCTTTTAAAAAGTGCCTATGAGTTTTAGATAGAGAAGGTTTCAGAGCTATTCCCCAAATTCCCAATGAATGGGGAATATCACTCAAACTGGCAATTCTTCTAGGGCTAAAAATGAATTTTTAAGTGAGCCCACCATAGTTAGATGCTGCTCTAAAAAGAGAGAGAGAGAGGAAGAAAGAAAAGGAAAAATGCCTCGGGGGAGCAGTAACTATGAGTGACACACAAGTCTGCTTTTAGCCATTGCACACAAGAGCAAACATGAATTATTCAAAACGCAGTTCTATTAATCTTTGCTTCATCTCCCTGTCTGTAAAGAGATAGCAGATGCTGTATTTCCAGTGCAGACACTGCCTTACATGCCCACTCAGCAGGGCATTACCATGAATCACAGGCTCTGGAGACTTTCAGCAGGTTGTCCTAGAAGACCCAAGAGTACTTCAATCATCTCAACTGGATTTTTTTTATTTATTTCAGAAAAAGAGGAAATACTTCTACACAAAACCTTTCCTTCACAGTCATTTTCTGTTGATACAGGTGACTTCCTTTTAATTTTCTATTAAGCTGTTTCAATAGACTTTTTTTGCTTTGCCTGCTTTTTAAGCCATCAAAAATACACATGAAAGATGGTAAAATAGTCATTGTCCATGGGAATTTCATTTTGTTTACAGCTTTTGTATTTGTAATTTATCATTTAAAGTATAACTCAAAGAGCTTGTGAATAAACATTTAGGAACCAGAACTGTAGTCAGGTGTGTAACTTCAGAGAGTGTTTTAAAGCCTATCAATTCCCTCAGTGTTTTCCTGATGGTAAGAGTGATTTATAGAAGAAATTGACATGAGTGTAAAAAAGGCAGTCTGAAAATGAGTCATAATTGTGTTTAGAATTCTGTTCTCTTGTACCATAACTTGTCTATTTTATCCACATATCTGAAGTGCCAGGACACATTTTTTAAATAAATAACAAATAAATAGCTGTATGTCTTTGAGGCATAGTAAGATGATTCATCCAGGAAATGACACTGCTGTTTTCAAAATTGATTACCTGTAGCTCTGTTCATCTCCTCCCCCAATGTAATATATCTGAGCTCAGAAACTCACTTTAATTGGTTGATTTAAACTAAATATGCCTCTATTGGTTTTGAAAGTTCCTTCATTTAAGTAGCTATACACAGTAAAAGTTCATTTGAAAGTAGATTGGCTCCTGTTACAAATCTGTGAGCAGGAGATTACAGATATGGTGATGATGGCCGCTGACCAGATTTCAAGATAGGTCCTCCTCTACCTCATGGTACTGCCATCTGGCTTGGCTTTCTCATTCAGACGTATGACATATTGTGCAGAAAAACTCATAGCTTGCTGCCACAAATGGTAGTAGAACTTTGCGCTTACTAAGAGCCTTCGTGACTGGTTGCCATGCTTTGCCCTTGGAATAGTTTTTGTAACCCTGAGAAGGAAAGAGAGACATTCAGATACCCAGCATGTCAGTGCAGAGTTACTGCTGCAGAATCTCTATTTAGACAACCATCAAGTGAATGTAGTTCTTAAGAAACATGACTTATTGACAGCCCTGCCAGTGTGCCATAAGCATGACTTGGAGGAACCCCCTACTCATAAAAGGTGCCCATGCCTGTCTAATTATCACATCTCCCCTGCAACTGTTAAACATGGTACTAATTAGAATGGCAATCATGCTGTGGGCACTTGAATATTAGGAATTCTTTAGAGACTCTCTGTTTTCATAGGCCTCAGAACAACTTTCAGATTGTAACTGCTTTTAGTCTGATGATTTTTGCTAAATTCATGCAGGTAATTAAGATCATGCAAGGCTCTGCACATAGCAAATGTCTATCCTCGTGGATCCAGTTTCAAGATTTGGGCTTTTTTAGAGTCAGAAGAGTCTATATTCTGTTACAGTTACAGAACCATCCATTGTCCAAAGACCATATTTTAATGACATTGCTGCGAAGACTATACCACTTCTGAATTTATATAGAAATGTAAACCATCCACATTTAAATCAGTTTTGCTGTAGTTAGTAGTTACATAACGGTAGTTATTTAATTAATTATAATAAAGTCTTAACTTTGATTGGTTGGTGTTGTCCAGTGAAATACAGTTAGTTCTGTTCCACAGTTAAGCAGCAGTGTAAATCTTTTCCAAGGCCAACATGGTGGAAATAACACCTTTGGCTTATTTCTATATTTGATCATGTAATGTTCATCACCTACTATGCAGCTTTACTGTTGTATTTCTCAGTGTGGAGTAAAACTGTGTGATCCTTTTCCAACAGAGGCAGTGATCTGAAATTTTGATGCCACTAAATGGCATGAGGAGCTAGATAATAACCAGCTGTTTAAAGGATCAGTGACAATTTCATATCATTTGGTTTTCTTATCTCCTAGTTGCCCCTCCAAAAAAAAGTGAAATTTTCAATGTTAGTGTGTTTCTTTTTAGACTTTTAAAACAAACTGTGTGATCCTTTTCCAACAGAGGCAGTGATCTGAAATTTTGATGCCACTAAATGGCATGAGGAGCTAGATAATAACCAGCTGTTTAAAGGATCAGTGACAATTTCATATCATTTGGTTTTCTTATCTCCTAGTTGCCCCTCCAAAAAAAAGTGAAATTTTCAATGTTAGTGTGTTTCTTTTTAGACTTTTAAAACAAACTGAGGT